CAAAACTGTTGAATTCTGATCTTTGAGTTGTAATTTCTCTTTCACCTCAGCCTTTCTCCTCTCAGAACAGCCTGATGATTAAGTGGGCGTCATTCGTGAATCTCCTCATCTTCGATACAGTACAATACATTTATTTCTACCATTGGCATAAAAGAAACACCTAATTACATCACATTGTAAATTTCGACCTTGCACCAGATACTAACACAAGTGTCTCTCATCCTCAGCTTTGCAAATATTCAATCCATTCAAACTGTTATTTATATTTATTCTTCCACCAGTGCGATTGCAAAATGCGTCTTGCTACTCTCCAACAATTACCGCGCGTGAACAATAGTACAATGTGATTAAGGGGGCGGCGTTCATGATGCTACGAGTCATGCGATAATATTCCTGTCAATGCTTCAAATTCACGCGTGTAATTTCTTTTAACCAACGTGCAGCTGGTGTTTTTCACTTCCCTTCACTTCCAGCTCTCGCGCCCAGAAAACAGAGCTCTTAAAGTGAATCTGTAATGATTTTGTTAGCAGTTGACAAGTCAGGGATTGTATTTTCAATTAGAACTGGTTAAAAGAGTTTTTTTTTTCATATTGATTTCTATTTTGTTATATGCAAATTCTTTTAAATTGTGATCACTCAAACTGAAAACTAGTTTTTAGACGTAGAAGTCTTCAAAGTCATTACAAATAAGGGACAGTACACAGGGTGGAAAATGTGGGTACAAAGGCTTCCTTATGTATGACATACATATACACACACATTTGCCACGTTCACCCTCCTCGGGCTGTTATCCCTGTCTATGCTCTGGTCCTCTACCGGAGGCCTGGAGCTTCTTCTGCGCAGTATCTTTGCTGTTCCTATGGGCACTACTGTCACCTTTACCTTCTAGGCCCTCTCCAGCTCCTCTCTGAGTCCTTGGTATTTCTCAACCTTTTTGTGCTGTTTTTTCCTGATGTTACCATCGCTTGGAATTGCCACTTCCACCACCACAGCTTTCTTCTGCCTTTTGTCTACCACCACAATCTCAGGTTGGTACATTACCATTCAGTCAGTCTGTGTCTGGAAGTCCCACAAGATCTTCGCACGCTCATTCTCCACCACCTTTGCAGGAGTTTTGCATTCAGACCTCACTTTCCACCGATGTTTCCATACACTATACCCGCCACTTGATTATGGCGTTCCATGTAGGCCTTCCCTGCCAGCATTTTGCACCCTTTGGTTATGTGTTGGATCGTTTCAGGTGCCTCTTTACACAACCGACACTTTGGCCTGCTTCTGTGCTGTCCTGTAGGCCAGCCCTTTCTAGCCTTTGGTAGGTGGTAGGTGTTACGGTGGTAGGGGGCTTGTCCTCTCATGATGGGCTCTCCTCCAGCACCTCCTCATCTCGCCACTGAGACATTCACTGAGTACGTCATCCGTTTGGGCCTTCTCCATGATGTAGTTATGTAGTTTGGATGTTTTGTCCTGGATAGTGGCTCTCACACTCGCTAGTCCTCGCCCTCCTTCTTTTTTACGGCTTGCATAGAGTCTCAGGGTCTTCTTACTTACCAGTAAAAAAAATTCCTACGGCCAATTAAACAGGGCTGGTGGAAATGCTCCCAATCAGAGTTGAATAGAGTAGAGCCAGCTAGGGCTGGTGATAGAATGTGGAACTGTCCCTATCAAATACATAAATAAAAAGGAAACATGTGGGTCATATGTGTCTTGGTACACAGGGTCAAATGGTCAACAATCTGTTTTTCAAAATGTAATATAATTGAATTTACGGACATTGCCTTTAATCAGTAAAACGTCATTACATTTTCAGAGTATACATCAAAACACTGCCATCACCCTATTCTTTCTGTCTCTCCTCCCCTGTCCCTCCCTTATATCTCCACTGGCTGAGTTGGTATGCCAGGACTGTAGGCACCAGCCAGACACATCCTCCAGCTGGTTCTGTGCCACAGACGGGCACCTGGACCACCACACATTGAATATTTCACTTGTGTGTTTCATTCGGGACCATTTCTCACACTACTTTCATGTGCCGTCAGTTGCTTGCCTTATTTTTTGCCTTTTCAACTGAGTGGATTTCAGTTTGCATTGATGAAACTTGGCCCAAATCCAAAGTGGCAGCATTCATGAACACAACTGTGGTTATCCAGTGCTGTTTCTCACAAGGTGCCATTGAACGCATCCTGGTGTATCCTTACCTATAGTGAACAGCTTGTTGGCAGTGCTTCGTGTGAGGATAGAGAAAAAATGTTATTTCATGTTGTGCGTAATTATGCCTTCTGAATAATGTTCTTAATGATATAGTGTTCATAATGATGAAATATTTGTACAAGCACCTAATTTTTTTTCCTAAGAGCAATTATATATTATTATATTATTATTCAGCTTGAAAAATATCCACAGCTGTTTAGTGCGTTGTTTCAATCTGGAGAGACTCAAACAGACAAAAAAAAATAAAGGTTGTTCAAATTGTATTTTATTTCATTACATTTATTTATTGTGATTATGATTTCGCGCTTAGATCTCGGCAGAGCACTGCATGACGAATGTGAATAAGTCCCATGGGGCCTATACCCTGGTGGTGGTTGCTAAGAGAGCCATCACGCCTCGTCAGCCTGGCCTGGCTGACAAGGTGCGATGGGGAGGAGGAGGAGGGTTGCTGCATGATGAAATCTTGCAGTCTGAACCTTTGCTTTAGCTTCTTCATCTATTAATACAATCTAAAATGTGCGTTGCAACACTGACATTTCCCCTTGTGGGATGAATAATATGTATTCTCTTGTTATATCTCATAAACAAATGTATAACATAATGTATAAAGCTATACTTGAGACCTCCTCTATCTGCTCCCACTGATGTCTGCTGTTGTTGTGTCCTTGGGCAAGACACTTTCTTGTAGAAAAAAGTATGGTGTTTTACCATAGTAAGTAGTATTTACAAATAAAATTTGAATGGAAAATGTTCAAGTCTTACCACTCTTAAGACTTGAATCCCTCAAACGTCTCCAAGCCTGCTAAACTTTTCCACTACAAGGAGCAAACCATATTACATCCTAGAATCAGATATTCTAGTTAACATGCATTTGTGGAGACGGCTTTATTTGCTTTTCCAAGCGTTGACTGACAGCCGTATTGGACATTAACTTGTGCAAATGTTTGGAGAGCAAACAAGACATTCATCATGACCGAGCTGCATGGAATTCCTCCGACCGTCCGTGGCTTTACCCCCTAATTGTGGCCTGGGATGCTTAGGTTTTGTTACACGTTGCCTGGATATTTTTAATCTAGACTTGAATGACTATAATTAAGAGTGCTATGTCATAATAGAAGATCTGTGTAATGATTTATACTTTGAGGTATAGAGGCTAAATGTTCAGGGAATTTGCCTAAACTTTATGTTGTTGTGGGGAGTTTGCTATACTGTGGTGTATGCAAAAATAGAACGTTGGAAATGGGATCATCAAAAAGAGACACAAATGAATAATAATAAAAAAGCAGAGTCTTTGGGTGATGCGTGGCGTTATAGAGCCATCTAGTGGACAAAGAGCTCCAAGTCAAGTAAATTGAAAATCCTGGAAAGCACATTTGTAATCACCATGTAATAACCATAAAACATCTCACCGTGTTAATGACACTGTTCTTGCAATAGGCTCGTAATATGGATTCATGAGAGCGAGAATGGCCTTTCGAATGTGTGTTGGGAAATTATAGATACTTCTTAATAATTTATATCAGAATGATCATTTCAAACAACTATATTCAGATTGTCTTTGTTTTCAATACTTTAAAAAAGAAGCTACACAATTATAACACAGTATTTATTTAATGTTTTAATTTTTTAACAATAATAAAAAAAACACAAAATAGTACAAATATCTGTTTTGCCCTGCGTATATTTTCAGTAATGTTTGGGAATGTTCATTGTTTGGCTTTTTTAGTAAGGCAGACTCCAAATGTGTTCGAATTGGTCAAATGTTGTGAAAATTAGTTACTTACATGATTTGGAACGGCTTTGGAAACTTGCTGGGCTAATGTAAATGTGTTAGAATTTTTGTGGTACTTTTGTATTAAAAAATAAAACATTTTGCCTGTTCCAACAGAAATAGTCTTGTAAAAGTACAACAAATCTAAGAAAGAGCCCTGTGTGGCACTATTTGACTTTTGGGCTGAGAGCTGATTGGCTGAGTGAGGGTTGCTCTCTTTTTCACCTTTCTGTCTGAAAACGCTGATCTAACAATGTGATAAAGGCCAAACAATTCATACATGTGAAAACTAGAGAACCAAGCGTGGATTGTATTTCATAGTGGTCGGAAAATTAGGTACCCCTGCTTTAAGGGCCACTACAATCATGATTCTTATTTTCTATTAATTACACCAAACCCTTTCCCAACAGGCCGATGAATGAACTCTACAACTTGTTCTTGGGTTATGACTCCCACCCACCAGATTCTCTCTGCACATAGCTCGTATAACAGGGGCATTATGACTAAATAGTAAGCATGTGAAAATAATCACGTTTTTTATTGCTGAAGTCACGCCAGGCGCACAACTCCTGACCATGCATGCGCCCATGAATGACACCGACCCCGACCACACAGACAGCCTTTACGCGCACACCACCCAACCACAACCCAGCATCAATCATAATGACAGCAGCTTTATCCAATCAAAGCTCGCGTCTGACCACTATACACCGCCTTTTCCCTCTCCTCGACCAATCACAACGCTGCAGCAATTACTAATTCATTACAATGCGAAGGGGAGTGGGAGTGACGCAGTTATTGTAGCTGCTTTAGATACTCCACGCTTTCCCCTCATCTATGACCGAAAATAACTATTTGTAGTAGCTGTGGGGGTGTTTCCAGATTACTCTTAGTTTATTCCTTGCGTTGTTTTTGAGGCTTGTATGTTGATTGGTTTGTAACGCTGCAAATTTGGATGCTACCACATCGCTTGGAGCTTGCACTACACCCCGAGGACTAGATGCGATAACCCCAGCGAGAAATGCCGCAGCCGAAATCACGAAAACTCGCCATCCTCGGGTACAGATCCGTAGGTGAGTCCAGGGATGCAGCGAATACAGTGGATGTTAGCGTTTCCCCACATAGCGGCCCTTTGACTCCATTATTAGCATGGTTCATAGTCTTAAAGCAAAAACGGGCGTAGGGCGCGTCAAATCTCAATTTCCATCGACTGTATGTAGATGTCTGCTTCTTTCTGCATCGCTTCCATAAATCTGACCCTAACCCTACCCGTCTATTAACATCACGCCACGCTGCTGTAGTTTAGGCCCATCCGAAGAGACACGCGCCTCGTTGTGCGGTGTTGGGGAAGGCAATCATCCGCAAGAGCTGCAGGATGGATACAGGATAAGATGCAGAGGAAAGGGAGGACTGGGCCCAGATAGCATCCCTGCACCATAAGCAAATACACCCTCTGAGCGTGTATAGGTCAGATATCCATGGCCATCCAAGTATAGCCGCGTGCGCGTAAAATGTTGATTCCAAAAGGATAAGGCTCAATCAGTCTGAATTCTGTCCATAAATACCCTGTATAATGACAAACCTATAGCCATCACTCTGTCCAAATGAAAAAAAAACAACAATTTTTTACGATTTTCAGATCAATTTAAAAAGTCCAGTATTTCTGTAGTTTTAACATGAAATCGTTGCATATTGATGTATCTGTAATGCCTTTTTAATCTGTTTTTGAATTGCTACTGTAAAGTGAATGTTAACAAATTGTACTAAACAAATAGATGATTAGTTGATTGATTGATTGACTGCAAACAGTCAACAATGCACTGTCCATTGTGATATGAGAAAGAATGATGTACAGCACAATCTATAGGTCAGTGTGGAAGAGTGCTTTTTTAGGACTTAAGTAAACAGTTTTGCCGAACAATAACACTTTTGAATGGCATGTGGTGATGCCATAGTAGCAGCGAAGTTGGATGTAGTTGTAACATAGTAAACTATTAGACTGGGTTATAAGATTATAGGGTCTGTTGCAGAGCAATATGTACCATCATTACTGCACCTCAATATTAGATAAGATTCTAGTTTACCATCATTACACTGTTCAGAACCATGCAAAATGCAGTTTAGAGTCTAACCAGAAGTGTAAGTACCAGATCATGTTTACAACACAGATAAATAGATGGAATAGTGCATATTTGTGAGACTGTACAAGCTGCCATTGCTAGTATTTACATTAAAGTCTGTAAATGGTGCTTAAACAGGGTGAGAGTTTGAACAGTCCATTAAAGTTTGTTGCTAAGTTACAATGGATCTTGCACATTCTAATATGAATGCTCAAAAAGGCTCAAAATTAAAGTTATTTTAGACTGGGCCAAATGAAACAGATAAATATATTGTCTGTGAACTTTCTACATCTCCACCATGTAAAAAATGTTATTGAGATTGATATACAATTGTAAATGGAACACTGGAGATTCCTTATTTATGTCTCACTTTTGTTTTTCAGGAAAATCATCATTGACAATTCAATTTGTTGAAGGCCAGTTTGTGGACTCCTATGACCCTACAATAGAAAATAGTAAGTCGTGTTTATGAATTTTTTTTTTTTTCCGGCTTGTTCACAAACGCTCAGGAGAGGCATGGGAATTCCTTTCACTTTTTACTGTGCACTTTCCTTATCCTCTGCCGTAGAACTAGCAAACACAAAATTACATAAACTTTGCACGCATTACGTAAATAATAGAAAGAATTTGTTTTACTTTCGCACCATTTGACTTGCCTTTACTTTCTTAATTAGCCTCATAGCTTTTGGGTATGGGGCTAATCAAGCAAGTTAATTATTTAGCCTCATACCCTAATTGTGAGGCTAATTAGGGTACCAGGAAACAACTAAACATTTGATAGTTTCCTCAACCAAATGGAAACTATATTGATTCAATCAATCAGAAAGTAAATATACTTACAACATAACAATAAATAGGAGCAGCGTGTGCAGTGATGCAGCCACTGTATCGGAATGTTGTGGTGAAGAGGGAGCAGTATCTGCAGTCAGAGCTATATCAGACTGGTGGTGAGGAGGGGGCAGCGTCTGCAGGGTAGCTGGATGCACCCTTAGAGATAGGGTGGAAGAAAAGCTCGTAGTAGAGCCGCTGCTTCCCCATGCTCGGGCATCTGTTTCGGGTTTCCTCCTGGACGCGTCCCTGGGGTGTTGTTCTGGGCCTGTCCCACTGGGAGGAGACCAAAGGAAGATCCAGGACACATCTTGGAAAATCTTCCAAGATGTAAAATCTTCTGAGAAAACTGCTGTTGTGATTGAATTGAATTCAATTGAATCAAACACAGCAACCGTTTCCACATTTATTTTATTTATGCACAGCTGAGTGATCCTCTACTTTTCTGAAAAAGCTGAACTAAACTTGTGACATAGGCCAAACAAACTGCAACTGTTGATAACCAACTAGTTACATGCATTTTATTAAATCAAAATCCAGTTTAAAAACAATTCTGTTTAGCTGTGTATACAACTGAATGATTCTAGCTTCACTTTTTTTAATGCACTGTGATATTTATGATTTGATGTATTGCATTTTAATGTTTCCTTTCTTGTTTTGGGAAGCACTTTGAGTTGCCTAGCATATGAACTATGCTATACAGAAAGAAACAAAACTTGCAATACCTTGTCATTTTGGTTTGAAAGTTACTACCACAGCTTTAAGGGACTGACTTTACCAGCGCTTGCCACATGAGGTCAGTAAAGCAGGCCACATTCATAACATTGAAAGGCACATTATTGCACATGTTTGCACAGGCTGCGTTTCCATAGTGATGCTATGGTCACAGTCACATCACCTGTGTCTATTGCAACCCGGTGCTGGGCAATTGCCTGTTCTTAATTCATATTGGTTTACCTCTGCAGGAGCGGCAAATAGAGATGTCTTAATTAAATTTCTGCTTTGCACAAACACATAATCAATACACTTGTTAACGCAATACCAGTAATTAACTTTTGTGCAATTCTAATAGTGCATGGTTTCTTTTATTATAGAATCTTGATTACATTAGGAATACTACAAAGGCCCAATTTTTCAAATGCGTTTTTTTTTTTCAGTGGGTGTGTTTGTGTAGGGGTGTTTTTAGTATTGATTCCCATTGTATTTACACTTGATAAAATCTCATTACAAATGGCAAAAATAACAGAACTATTATGAACATTTTGAGACTCAATATTGACCTAAAAAAAGACGTCCAAATCAAAAAGTTGTTTGGCGTCGACCCCTTTGTACTATATGTTATTGTAAACATAATTACTGCAGCACATTGAGTACAGAAAACATGCTCCATTCGTGCCAAAACGCCTGTGTGACACTGTCAAATACTTCATAAATCAGAGGCTAGTTTAATTGTATAGCACAGTTCATACAAAGGCAACTCAAAGTGCTTAACAAAGCAAGAAAAGAAACACAAAGGCAATACGGTAAAAAAATATTCACAACACATTTGCACTGCCTCCCCATGTGTGGTTCTGACTCTGGCTTGACTCTCACTTGGCTGATGTAAAACGACTACAAATATTTACCCGCGAAAAGCCCTGACTTTAAACAGTCCATTTCGAATAATAAGTCTCTATTCAAATACGCCGCAGCTTGCTTTTCCTTGCACTCGGGCAGGCAGGGGCTGTCGGTTTGGAGCGCTGCAGGACTCTTCACATTCATCTTACCTTTAAACACACATACATTTCCACTCAGACTCTCTGGAGGCCCGAGTTTAAACTTTAGCTGTGGGCGATGCTCCGTGTTTCTCAGACATGTTCTCTCACATAGCTCCCCTGCAGCTGCATATGTCTGCCTCTATAAATAATGCCCTGTGTGCGGTTAACATAAAGTGTCATTGGCGGCCCTCGCTTTAGGCTGCGTAAGCTCCCAGTTGTACAGTATATAACACCGGCAGCAGGCTTCTCCGGGAACAAGCTATCGACAGCTTTGAACCCAGGGAACTCAAGATATGCGCCAAATAGATGCTCTTTCACTGCTGCTGTATACGGTCTGGCTGCAGGCGGCAAAATGCGTGTTTGTTATGTTGGAAAATAAGCCTGTCGCAATATATAGGGGATATATATACACATCATATTTATTGTCCATGCCAGTTATACATACATAGATAGATAGCATTCGATCTATGTATGTATAGCATTGCATAGATAGCATTTTTAGCATTCCTCCAGTGGATTTTCACCTGAGCCGCTTGGTTCGGACCATGAATCCTCTCTGCTCCGGTCTGGACCAGTGTAAAACCATGAACACAATAAAAATTGTAAAGCACAAAACAACATCTGTTTCAGAGCTGCTACGGACTTGCTGCCGTTGTACATCAACGCAGAAAAAAAAACAGTGTATATCAATGCACAAAAAGAAACAGTAAGGAAGATATAGTAAACTCAGTTGTAATATTTTAGATTTTAGCTTAATAATGATAGTAATAATAATAGCTTAGTAATAATAATCATGTTAATAGTGACAATAATGATGGTGATAATTAATAACAATATTAATAATACATCCATCCATCCATCCATCCATTTGCTTCCCTTTAATCCATCTCTGGGTCGGGGGGGTGGCAGTCAGAGCTGCACCCAGTACACAGAGCACCAGCCCCTCACTGATCCTCCTGCAGGTGGTGAGTCCACAGGAGCTGAGATCTTTCAGTGGGGGCTTCAGGCAAAGTGGGGTTAAGTGTCTTGCCCAAGGACACAACGACAGCAGTCATCAGTGGGAGTCATGAAGTAGGTCTTATGGTGGGCTCGAACCCACGACCTTCAGGCCTAAAGGCCAGTGCTAGTTAATAATACATCATATTTATAAAGCGCTTTGTTAGACACTCAAAGATGTGTAACCTCCAACCATGTTCCCTGTCATGAAGCCCCTTTGTTGAGATTTTAATGCATCATGTTCTCTCAAACACCATCAAAAATGCTAAACAAAAAAATGTATAATTTTTCACTGTTTGTAATGGAAATAATGTTATAAATACATTATTTTTGCTAATTGCAGAGACAACATTTTTGATCATGGACACGGTTTATCGTGCAGCCCTAATACACAGTTATACTTAGTTGAATTTCATGCCGTTATTGCAGAGTGGATGGATGACTACTGTAGATACTTTCATGGGTCATGGGGCTCTGTATTGTCTGAGGAGAGGGTCTTCTCAGCACTGAGCTCTTGTACCGGTCGTACAGAGGGTCTGTGCTGGTGTTTGAGTGTTTGTGCTGGCCTGATAGTGATAGTTTTGTGTTTGACAGTTAAGAATGGCACAATTCAAAAATGAAGGAGGACACAAATGCTTGACTCAAAATAAAACATTTAATCTAATGAAATAGAATATGGGAAAACCCCCAAAATCTAAAAGGGACACAGGAGCAGGAGTACAGGGGAAACACAGAGCAGACAATCAACAGAACAGGTAAAACCAACCACCGAAATAATACAAGTCCACACCATACCCAAGACAGTAAAACCAGACGAAGACTGCTCCAACCATGGGTCAAATGCAGAGGACGAATTTCCTTCGGAGACAATAAATTAAAAGAAATGTGCAGGCGCTACCTCCATGTGAAAGGCAGATTCCATCAGACCGCTGAAGCTAAGAAGAGGCCCTGCCTGGTTAGTACTTTGATGGGAGACCTCTCAGAACACTTTACCCACATTGCCTACAATGAGTGCACAAATGGTTGGTGGTGGTCGGAAGGGCCGATGGCACACATATGGAGTGATTGAGTAATTTCATGTGATTATGTGTCCAAAAAGTGCTATATAAAATTGATACGTTAAATTAAATCAATTAATTGTTTAAAACACAAAAATGAGATCTGAATCTGAAGTGAGGCAGTTCTAGGATAGTCTGAGAGCCAAATAGCACAATATTCCCAGACAAAACAGTTTTATCATTAAATTAAGACATTCATTCATTATCTCTTCACTTCATATCTTTTGTGACAAGATCAGATAAAAGTGGAAGCTTATCTTATTGACAATAAACCAGCAACAATGGCTGAGGACAAGTGACTCTTAAGGCTGCATTATTGCTTTTGTTAAACAATTGTGCTTTCATCAAGGTGCATTCAGAAAGACCTCATAGAAAAGCAGGAGTGGTCCAATATGTGGAAAATTTAGGCTGTATTTTTGTCCTTGATCAATTTAAAGAAAAACACAATATCATAACGACAATGCATTTCCTGTAGTCAAATGTGTGAAAAATGTTCTTTTATTTTCTTTATCTCACAGTGACTCAAACAAGGGTCTGTACTATGTTATGAATTATACTACATAAAAAGCATGTATTAGAAAATCAATCTGGAGCTCCACGCAATGACACAGAGAGGTTACGCTGCGCACCATGAGGGATATAAGGTCATGCGTGAGCTTTGATGTAAGAATTGATGGATGTCTGACAGAAAACATGAGAACACATGGTCATCAGCCTATGTCTGTGGCCAGAGGCTCTTCCACAATGAAGCATCCACTGAACCTCAAGGTTACGCAGCTAACCGTAGTTCTTTGACAAATTATCTGTGTTCACATGCACCTGAAAAAGTGAGACCACAGTCAGGGCGACAGCAGCTCAGCTGGTAGAGCATTGGCCTTTGAGCCAGAAGGTCGTGGGTTCGAGCCCGACTTTCACCATCGACTCCCACTGTCTGTTGTCGTTGTGTCCTTGGCAAGACACTTAACCTCTGGGAACACCTGATGCCACAGTGGGGCGGCTGCGGCTGTAAAGTGCCAAACTGCTGTTGTGTCCTTAGGCAAGACACTTCACACCCATTGCCTAGTATGAGTCTGGTGTGTGTATGAAAGGCTAGTGGTGGTCGGAGGGGCTGATGGCACAGACTAGTTGCCTCGGTTCTGTCAGTGTGCCCCAGGGCAGCTGTGGCTACAGTAGTAGTTCATTACCACCGTGTATGGAGTGAAAGAATAATGACATGTAAAGCATCTTTGAGTGTCCAAAAAAGCGCTATATAAAACCGATGCATTATTGCGTGTGTGTAAAAAATTTAATGGAACTCATAAAAGTACGAAAGGGGGTAACAGAATAACAGTAACTCTGCAGAGTGTGTATACTGGGGCCCTATTGTTGCTGTTAGTACTGTGATGGGAGACCTCACCCACATTAGAATGAGTCTGGTGTGTGCTTGAATGGTTGGTGGTGGTTGAAGGGGTCGATGGCACAGGGCAGTTGTGGCTGCACTAGTTGTTTATCACTACTGTGTATCCGTGTTGAGTGTCAGCAAAAGCACTACAAAATGTACCAATTCATGATTTTGTAAAAGTGTGTCATATTTTTCATCGTGTGGCAGCGCTTATTCTGACACAACTTTTTGTTGGACTCTTTGCAGCGTTCACCAAAATGATCACGATAAACGGGCAGGAGTACCATCTGCAGCTGGTGGACACGGCAGGGCAGGTATGACTCATGTGCTATTATACATTCAATGCAAATTCAACATGGCCGACTGTAATAATGTCCGTGAGGAATAATAATATGACCTGTCACCAGAGACAGTGACGCATAATGCTCAGTACAATCAGGGATGGTGCAGAGACCAGCAGTCATCAGGGCGTTTTGCAGAGAGGAAAAGATATTATAGAGCAAATCAACAGCGGACGATTTCAAGTGGATTGCTTGTTAAGTATTTTTGTCAGCTTAATTGGCTTCAAATTAAGGCCAGTGCACTGAAGTCAGAGGAAGGTAAATGTAACCAAAAAAGCTGTTTCAATATTTAAAATGGAAATTTTCTTGTGACTGAGCTTGAGTTTTCTATTGCTTTTTCCTTATTAAAATATTGCATAATGAAGACTGTTGAATTAAGCTGTATATTGTGTATCAGCTTAGTTAAGTGAGTGATCTTTATTTATATAGCCCATTTAACAGACGAAAGTCACAGAAAGCACACTATTTGTAATTTTCCATTCTCTTCACACACAGTGATGAAACTGCATGGAAGCCTCCGACCATCACCATCCGTTCACTCTATCATTATAACCAAACTTTATATTTTTACTTTTTTACGTTTTTAGTGGTAGGGGAAACCGGAGTAGGCAGGGAGAACATGCAAACTAAACACGGACAAGCCTGGAGGTCTTTTCCGTACCCTTGTTTACTGAATGCGCTGGAAAACTGCAAGTCCTAGGCTTCGTCCACACGTAGCCGGGTATCTGCTAAACCGCAGATATTTTCCTTCGTTTGCACCTGTCATCCACATGACAACGCATCATAAACGAATATACTGTATAAAAAACTCTGGGCAAAGTTTTGCGTGTTCGCACGTCACAGTATGCCCCCAAAACAACAACAAACAAAACATGCGACCTCTGATCACTGAGGAAGCATGGATCTTACTGCCTTAAAAAGTGTTCGCAAATGCATGGATGCAAATTATTTCATAGATGAGGGAGAGGGGGAAATAAATTAATTTTAAAATACCCGGCTAGGTGTGGACATGGCACTAAGTAGCTGGAGGAGTGGTTACAGCGGATCCCTGGAACGACCTCGGAAATCTCGGTCCTGAAATGTGCAGTGCTAGAAACAGCAAAGATACTACGCAGAACCCTCAAGCTCAAAGGGCTCTGGTAGAGGACCCGAGCTTGGAGAGAGCTTATATAAATATACAGTGCCTTGCGAAAGTATTCAGCTCTCTTGAACCTTTCAACATTTCGCCACATTTCAGGCTTCAAACATTAAGATATTAAAAATATTTTTTTCTCAAGAATCAACAACAAGTGGGACACAATCGTGAAGTGGAAAAAAATTTATTGGATAATTTAAACTTTTTTAACAAATAAAAAACTGAAAAGTGGGGCGTGCAATATTATTCGGCCCCCTTGTGCTAATACTTTGTAGCGCCACCTTTTGCTGCAATTACAGCTGCAAGTCGCTTGGGGTATGTCTCTCTATCAGTTTTGCACATTGAGAGACAAGAATTCTTGCCCATCCTTCCTTGCAAAACAGCTCGAGCTCAGTGAGGTTGGATGGAGAGCGTTTGTGAACAGCAGTCTTCAGCTCTTTCCACAGATTCTAGATTGGATTCAGGTCTGGACTTTGACTTGGCCATTCTAACACCTGGATATGTCTATTTGTGAACCATTCCATACCTTTCAACATTTCGCCACATTTCAGGCTTCAAACATAAAGATATAAAATTTAAATTTTTTTGTCATGAATCAACAACAAGTGGGATACAATCGTGAAGTGGAACGAAATTTATTGGATAATTTAAACTTTCTCAAGGAGCACTATGCAAGCAATTATATTGAAATGGAAGGAGTATCAGACCACTGCAAATCTACCAAGACCCGACCGTCCCTCCAAACTTTCATCTCAAACAAGGAGAAGACTGATCAGAGATGCAGACAAGAGGCCCATGAACACTCTGGATAAACTGCAGATAACTACAGCTGAGGTGGGAGAGTCTGTCCATAGGACAACAATCAGTCGTGCACTGCACAAATCTGGCCTTTATGGCCTTCTTGAGTGGCAAGAAGAAAGCCATTTCTCAAAGATATCCATAAAAAGTCTCGTTTAAAGTTTGCCACAAGCCACCTGGGAGACACACCAAACATGTGGAAAAAGGTGCTCTGGTCAGATGAAACCAAAATCTAACTTTTTGGCCACAATGCAAAACGATATGTTTGGCGTAAAAGCAACACAGCCTTCCCAGTCTCAGGTCTTTTGCAGACTCCAACAGGTTTTCTTCCAGAATGGTCCTGTATTTGGCTCCATCCATCTTCCCATCAATTTTAGCCATCTTCCCTGTCCCTGCTGAAGAAAAGCAGGCCCAAACCATGATGCTGCCACCACCATGTTTGACAGTGGGGATGGTGTGTTCAGGGTGATGAGCTGTGTTGATCTATATGTTTACTCTATGTTATTATGTTTATGATGTTATCTTGACCGAAGACTGGTTCAGAGCAATCGCAGCTTGGAGAAGGTGCTGGTTACCACAGGAACACACTATTTACTTGCAACAGTTAGTATTTAGTTTAGCTGTATCTCAGTTATATTAACCAGTTTTACTTGAAAGCTTTTTGTGATTTTAATCTTACTTCTATTGTTTTGGTAAGCACCTTGAGTTGCCTTGTGTATGAACTGTGCAGAACAAATAAACTTGCCTTGCCTTATGCTGTTTACAAATGCCTCCTGTTATGGGGATCCCCGCTCCCATCTCTGTGTGAAGTGAGAGGAAAAAAAAAATGCCAAAAAATAAAACTACAATTGTAAAGCGCTTTGGGATATAAATAATAATGACTTACTCACTACTTACTCTATACAGAAATTCCACAACAGCACAATGATCAGACTAGTTCTCCTAACAGGCCTTCTACTTTCTCTTCAGGACGAGTACTCCATCTTCCCGCAGACCTACTCCATAGACATCAACGGCTACATCTTGGTCTATTCCGTCACTTCTAATAAAAGGTACCATGCTTGTACCGCTAATAACCACAACAGCATGCATTAGCCCGTAGCGCATTCTCCAGTTGTCTCTAATGTGTTGAAAATAACTGTACGCTGGCCTTATCTCTGCAGCTTTGAAGTCGTCCAAGTCATCCATGAAAAGCTGTTGGACATGGTGGGCAAAGTTCAGTAAGTTTCACTGTCTCTTTTCACTTGTTTTTCGGCTGAAGCTTGTGTATCATCAGTAAATGGCGTGCATTACTTTCCTCTCAATACAGAGTACCAATTATGCTGGTCGGAAACAAGAATGACCTACATATGGAGCGGTATGTACAAAACAATTTAATAGGCACAAGATGGCACAAAACAAAGTTGATGTTTTCACCGCAAGCTCTCGGCATTATCCCACACACTTTTCACTTCGCCTCAGGTCTGGTTTTACGATAAGTATTTCTCAAAATAGTTCAGACTTCCAAAATGGGCCTGCAACAGTAAACTAAATAGGTTAAACAAGTTAATTTTAGTAAGTAAGTAAGTAAGTAAGTAAGCTTTATTTATATACCGCCTTTCACAGACCAGAGTCACAAAGCGGTTTACAATTGTTATTTTTTGGGCACTTGTCCTCTCACTCCACACAGAGATGGGAGCGGGGTCGCCGAACAGGAGGCGCATGCCAGACCTATTGTACATATTTTTAGTGGTAGGGGAAACCGGAGTACCCGGAGGAAACCTACGCAGACACGGGGAGAACATGCAAACTCCACTCAGAAAGGCCCTGGTCCGGCCGGGATTCGAACCCAGGACCTTCTTGCTGAGAGGCGAGAGTGCTATCCACTCAGTAGGACAAAGCAGGGTGGAAATACAGGACTAAGACCAAGAATTGATGAGTGGCAATTTGACTAAACTGGATTGAAACTAAGTAATTATTTTTCTCATAAAGTTGTCTAGAAATGGTGACAATAATCCAAAACAGAATAAAGGGCTTTCAGACATATCAATAAAATGACAGGTTTGTGATCAAATCTCCTTCAAAGAGTTATCCGGGGAAACATTTTCACTTTTTAAAAACTTCTTTCAAAATTTCTCATAGACGTGTATTGGTACCTGCCCTCAAACTGAAATAAAATTATAGAACACAACCTCCAGACATCACATAATCAGAATAAGACATCTCAAACAAAGTGATACTGTACGTATATCGTCTTAAATTCCTCTCAAACTCTGCCACCTCTTAAGGAAATAGCGATGTCTTTGCACCTTGACTGACTGCTCCTGTGTGCCTGTTTCACAGAGTAATCAGCTGTGAAGAAGGAAAAGCATTAGCTGAATCTTGGAATGCTGCCTTCATGGAGTCCTCAGCTAAAGAAAACCAGGTAAGTGCTATGTACCCAAGGATGTGTATTAAAGCACCTTGTAAAATGTGTTAAAAGCAATAGATTACATAGAAAACATTTAATTTCAAGTGGCTAAGTCAAACTTTTTCTCTGAAGAAAACAACCACATCATGTATTTTATTGTAAAGAATTAACCAAGAATGCAAGTAATATTATTATTTAGACTTTTTCCTTTGACTCAACTTTTATTCAGTCCAAGGATTTATAGTGTGACCCCTTGCTATAGCACAGTTCCCTGTTTCCCTGTGTTTTAGTGTTCTGCGTGCTTCTCATGCTGTGTGTCCACTCAAACAACATCATATACAACAATTCAATTCAATTATTTTTTATTGTATACATGTTAGCAACCTGTACCTGAACTCAGGTTCAGTAGAAGACTCAATAATCTAGAGTTCTTCTTTAATCTCCTCTGGTTCACTGGACATCTCTCGAACAACAATGTCTGCTTTTTGGATTCGTGTCTCTGAGCTGGTTTCCAGGTTCTCATACAAACCTTCTGATCCAGTCTCAATATGGAGAACCTCATGTACACTGGCCATTTCTTCCACTCATGCACAGATGTCCTGACAATCCTGATCTGGACATGATTCAGATTTGTCCTCTTTGTCCACATGGTGTACAATTCATTGGATTTAATTAAACTTAGTTCAGTTATGTTTTAATATACAGTGGGGCAAAAAAGTATTTAGTCAGCCAGCAATTGTGCAAGTTCTCCCACTTACAATAATGACAGAGGTCTGTAATTTTCATCATACTGTAGGTACACTTCAACTGTGAGAGACAGAATGTGAAAAAAAATCCAGGAATTCACATTGTAGGATTTTTAAAGGCGTTATTTGTAAATTATGGTGGAAAATAAGTATTTAGTCAATAACAAAAATTCAACTCAATACTTTGTAATATAACCTTTGTTGGCAATAACAGAGGTCAAACGATTACTATAGGTCTCTACCAGGTTTGCACACACAGTAGCTGGTATTTTGGCCCATTCCTCCATGCAGATCTTTGAGAGCAGTGATGTTTTGGGGCTGTAGGCGAGCAACACGGACTTTCAACTCTCTCCACAGATTTTCAATGGGGTTGAGGTCTGGAGACTGGCTAGGCCACTCCAGGACTTTCAAATGCTTCTTACGGAGCTACTCCTTCGTTGCCCGGGCGTGTGTTTGGGATCATTGTCATGCTGGAAGACCCAGCCACGTTTCATCTTCACAGCTCTCACTGATGGAAGGAGGTTTTGGCTCAAAATCTCATGAGACATGGCCCCATTCATTCTTTCCTTAACACGGATCAGTCGTCCTGTCCCCTTAGCAGAAAAACAGCCCCAAAGCATGACGTTTCCACCCCCATGCTTCACAGTAGGTATGGTGTTCTTGGGATGCAACTCAGTATTCTTCTTCCTCCAAACACGACGAGTTGAGTTTATACCAAACAGTTCTACTTTGGTTTCATCTGACCACATAACATTCTCCCAATCCTCTGCTGTATCATCCATGTGCTCTCTGTCTCTGTAGTAATTATAAACCAGGTTTGGCCACCAGTTTACAATTAAATTACATTTATTTTTGTATAGCGCTAAATCACAACAGTGGAGGAATCTTCACAAAGTTGTTGATTTGAAAAAACAACAGCTCAGAGAACAGTTTCAACACAGGAAATGCAAAAATAACAAACATATAGGAGCCATTTGTCCAAAAGGAGAGGGATGACTGTCCATAAATGTTAATAAATGTGCAAACTAGGGCTGTCAAATGATTAAAATTTTTGTTGTTGATTAATCGCATAATAATGGTGAGTTAACTCATGATTAATTGCATTTTTAACATTCTATTTCAAATCCACTCCAACTGAAGTTAAATGAGATTTTCAGATGTAATGACACATTGCCATTCATACCAAATCTGTTTGATTTGCTCACAACCTTTTATTTTGGGCACAACCAAGATGAGCTGTTAATGAAAGGGAAAATGTACGTATCCCAGCTTTAATTTAGCAAGTTTAGTTGCGTTTCAGGAGGAGACACGGATACATCCTGATGCGCCATAGTTCAGCTTCAGAGGTGTATTTGCGTGCACAGGTTATACACAGGATACCCAAAGACACGCACACAACATGCAGAGAATAGTTCTGTGCGTGTATGTTCTTGGATCACGCTACCGTGGCGCCATTTGCCGTGTTAGTGACGGCGGCTCACGCGCCTATTCCCAGCGTGTGACCGCCTTTAAAACTTGAATTCCCAGAGACCTGCTCTGTTGCCATCTCCTGCATTTGTCCGCGGCATTCTGAGTGATTTTATGGGATGCATGGGCGGGTCATTTGGACATGGACGCGTTTTTTTTTTTAATAATGAAAAATGTAATTAAAGTGCGTTAACGCGATAATTTTGACAGCCCTAGTGCAAACAAATTATTAAAATGTACATGAGGCTTTGTTGAGTTAATTTATTTCTTGTTTATCAATGGATGTTACTTGGGGAACTCAAACCCATCCAACATTGTAGTGGCTGCATTGTTTTTGGCATCTTTCTGGTAAACTGTTAATGCCGTTAAAAAGGCCGAACCATGTCTTTTGTGCAAGTGATTTTGTCAGGTAGGACTGCAGGTTAAAACGGCATTAACATGAACTTATCAAAAATCTAAGTATTTTTTACCCCAATTGACAGATACTGGTCTAACATAAGGTGAACAGCAGTCCTATTGACACAATTTCTTTGCAAATGACTGTGTTTGCTTCTGAGCTATGTTTATGTCTGCTTTGGTTTGAACTGTAAAGAACATGACTTCACCGCCCTGAGCTCTGTCTGCTCCACATGTGGCTGGAAAATTCCCAGTGGTGTGACTTTGCATGTGATACAATATAATATCTTTATTCATTCATTATTGAAGTGTTTTAAGAAGCCTTAGTGATACAACATATATACGGTTTATAAGGTATAATAATTTCCTCTGCATTTGATCCATCTTTCAATACCATGAGGGAAGCCTCTGTCAGGAGCAATTCATAAAATAAACATAAACATTAAGCAGCTATTTAAAATCGTCCTCTAAATGTTTTTGAATCTAAAAAATACTATATTTACTATGTTTTCTATATTCTATGTTCTATATTCTACTTACAGCATGCTATGTGTTCTTTTTTTGTGTGTTGATTGTTGATTCTCTGATCTGTTTTGGTGATTTCAAAGGTTTTGTTTAGTCTTTGAGATGACTACTGTTGTGATGTAGAGCTACTGTATACAGGAATAATTGGTATGGTATTGTATTGTATTATCACTTTACCAAAGAAGTGAGAAACACAAAATTCATCCAACACGTGGCGGCAATTCAGTATTCACGCATAAACTCTTGGAGTCATTGTTCCATAGGCAGCAGGATGACCAATTTCTGTAAATGTTCAGAAATGTCCCTACATTTCCCGAACCATCACTGTCCTTAGACCCTCCCGGGAGGCCCGTATAGAGAGAGGGATCTGCTCCCAAGAAGCTACAGGCTGTTTATTCAGGACTCTGTAGCACAAACTGCTATTACAGTACTTAAATCTGGTGTACTTCACTTTAGTTTACATACATATATGTTGGTTCCCCAATTGAAAGAGTCTTATTTATGTAACATCCATCCATCCATCCATTTTCTTCCCCTTAATCCATTTCTGGGTTGGGGGGGTGGCAGTCATAGCTGCACCCAGTACACTGATCCTCCTGCAGGTGATGAGTCCACAGGAGCCTAGATCTTTCAGTGGGGGCTTCAGGCAAAGTGGGGTTACGTGTCTCGCCCAAGGACACAACGACAGCAGTCATCAGTGGGAGTCGGTGGAGAAGGTCTTGTGGTGGGCTCGAACCCACAACCTTCAGGCTCAAAGGCCAATGCTCTACCAACTGAGCCACTGTCGGCCCCCTTCATGTAACATCTTGTGAGCAAATCAGAGGACAACCTGCCGTGTTCAAAACATGTTATATATTACATACATAGAGCTGATTGGCTGCGTGAGGGCTGGTCCTCTCTTTTTAACTGAAAAAGCTAATCTAAACATGTGACAGGGGCTAAAAATACATGCAAATACAAACCGGTGATAGAACCAAACAGAGAACAGGGAACTAGTTACATGCTTGTACTGTATCACATATTTGGTGGTTTCAAAGTTATGTTAACTTTAAAATCATTTTCTTTTCTTTTTCTCTTGTAGACGGCCGTGGAGGTTTTCCGGAGGATGATTTTGGAGGCTGAGAAAATGGATGGGGGCGTGCAACCTGGAAAGACCTCATGCTCTGTGATGTAGAGCCCACAGGACCACAATACAACAGGACACTGCACTGGGATATCCTGTTACTTGAAGGCTCGCTGCCAGTTCACCACCTCAGCCGACTCCAAACACAGCCCTAAATGTCCCCAAACCCCCCCACAGTCGGTACGGCTACATCCAGCAACAGATATGGTCTTAAGGCAACTCAACGTGCTGAACAAAACAAGAATAGAAAACAAGGCATTAAAATCATAAATAATCACAGTACAGTACAGTAAGTTGTATGCGCAGCTAAACAGAACTGTTTTCAACCTGGATTTGAACATTGTCAGAGTAGAAGCCTGTCTCACATTTTCAGCAAGACTGTTAATTGTATTACAAAGAAAGCATAAACAATCTCTCCATTTTTGCAAAGAAAATCTACAGTTGATTAATCTTTAGACCTAAAAAAATAAGTTGTTTGATCCATCAGTTATTGAACATAATGATCGGTCTCTGTATTGTGAGGCATTTAAAACATGTTTTTGTTGCTAACAGATCATCTTTAACATCCTCATCTCATTCAGGGCAGCTCCAGGTTTGGTCAAGTCCAACCTAAGACCTTTTTCTGCCAATTAAAGAAAAATGAATACAACAACTTCAATGTTTTCAAAAATAATTCACAATCAGTTCTGAAAAAAATATATATTGGCAGAATACATTCCCTATTAATTTAAAGAATATATTAATTTATGCTATACTCATCCATAATGAACCTAAAAGCTTTTAAGGCATTGATTTTTGTCTCACATTGAATAAGGATTCTGAGGCTGTCCTAGTGTTATGTTTATACATAACTCTAAAATACATTTTGATCTGCAAATTATAATAAAAGAAAAAAGCATCTGAATTGCAACCCGAAATGGCAAACTGTTGATAGATTATTATTGCGTCTTTGATTAAGGAAAAAGAGCAGAAATAGTCTTCACATATTGACACCGGAAAATGTTTTGGCCTCATCTTTATCACAGATAATGCATTACAAATATGTCTTATATTGTTCTATATAAATAAATCAGACTTTTAAAAATGTCATGTCTTCCTCTTTCGACCCATTAGCTTCTGGTTAGTAGGTGGCACAAGAAGCCTTAATACATTGCAGCTTATATTTTGAACAGGATGGAATACATCATCCAAAGTCATAGATGAAGATTGGAAAAAAGCTATAACTCGAAAATAGCAGAAACACACAAATCTTGAAATTTTAGCAAAAAACCTGTGCATGTAACGTACTGGCTGTGTATTTAGGGCTGTGGTCCAGTCTTACTTCCCAGTATCCCTCTCCCTCTGTCATCCTTGTTTTTCTTAGCGTTTTTGAGAAACTGTGGTTAGAGTGGATGATCGTTGAAGCTAAACACAAGTGACTATTATCTGGGTGTATCCGAACAAATGTTTTTATTTTGAACCTTGTTTTTTTAAGAAATTCTTGCGGTGCTTGGTAAAGACAGACAAATCCTTTACTAAGTCCAGACTTGTACAAAAACAGCAACAGCGGCTTGATGCATCCTCGCTTTTCATATTCATATAATCTTATAAAGGTGTATGGCGTAACTTTTTAGATGGAAGGTGTGCAGTGATGTGGTGAAGAGAGAGTTGTGTCAAAAGCAAAGCTCTCGATTTGCCGCTCAATCTATGTTCGCTCACCTCTGGGTATTAGCTTTGGTTAATGACCAAAAGGACAAGATCATGGATGCCAGCGACCCACACGATTAAGAGCTTAGTCCCACGGGAGGAGCTTGAAGTAGAGCCGCTACCTCTCCACATCGAGAGGAGCCAGATGAGGTAGCTCAATCATCTGATGTCCAAAAAGGAGGAGACCATGGGAAGAACCAGAACACATTTGAGGAACTATGTTACTCAGCTTTGGAGCGCCTCAGGATTCCTTTCATCCGATTGTCGAGCCATGGATGCACCATTCTTTTGACTGGAAAGTTCCACTGCTTTGCATTTAGTATGTCAATCCGCATTCAATTCAGAAAGTAATTTTGATGTGTTTAAAAACATGGGGTCTCTTTGATCTTTCCACAGATCTGGCCACGTAAAGCCATGACATCACCCCAAAGACATGTACATGTACATCCAGTAGAAATGTTACAAAGTATATCTTTAAATGACTGCAACTAAGAGAAAAAAGTCACATTCGGCCAGAAATATTGACTTTAAAAAAATCCATCTCAGTTTATTTTTTAACTATATGTATTTTTTGTTTCCTAATTGCAAATGTGTTTATACACATTGACAAGCAACATGTTTGTCCTCAAAGTGAAAGAGCAAAATTTACTAACTGCAAGTCAAGATTTGGAGAAGCAGACGGGAGCAATGAGACAAACTCGCAACACATGGTCAATTAGAAATTCTTTTTTCATACTATTAATACTGTTTGTAAAGATATAAAGGAATGTATTAAAGCTGGGGTACCTCGCTTTTGTGTTTGAATAATGCACATTGTTTCTCCCCAACAGTGTGAAAAGCTGTGAACAAATCAGACCGCCAACATGCTGTCTAAACAACATAAAAAACAGAAACAGCCCTGTGATTCACTATTTGTCACTTTCGGCTGAGAGCTGATAGGCCGAGTGAGGGTAGGTATTTTTAAACACTGATCTAAACTTGTGACAGAGGCCTAAAATACTTGTGAAAACATGAGACAGAACCTTAATTGTGTTTGTGAGATGGGTTGGATTACATAGGTCAAATTTCTGCAGTTTGGACCACCGGTACCACAGCTTTAAGTCAACTGTTCAAACCAATCCAATCTTGAGTTTAAGAACCTGTTAATTTGAGAACTGTGTATTGAATTGGACGTTGTACTGTTCTATCTTTTGGATTTTTGCACCGTGGTTCTCTCTGCAGCTGATCTGCATTGTTGGTTTATTGTGATTGATATATCCCTGTATTAAAATATCTATAACCTTGCTCCTGTCTGCATTTCCCAAAAGAGCATAATCTTCCTTCTCTGTCATCCAATTATTTTACAAATCACAGTCCCGTGTCTTTTTTTGGCTGCATCCTAACTCATTTTACACGTTTCTCGGTTCCAAGCGGTTGCTTTCAGCCAAAAGACGCCATTTTCTAAAGTTGAAAATGTTGTACAAATGTTTTGATTGTAATCATTAAAGCAAAATGTGATTATGTAAAATGGTTTGGGTTGCATTGATTATTGAAAGATACAATGAGATTAAAGATACTAAAGACAGGTTAGTTTTACCAAACTGATGTGTTGTTGCAATAGTAATGCAACAATACATAATTTTACATTGAGTCCAAGCTTTTGCATGTGTTTTAGGTCCGTGTACTTTTGCGTTCAATACATTTTTCTATTTTTGAAGGGAAAGGCTATTTGGCACTTTTAGGCACACAGCAATATACAAAAAATGACCATTTTGGTTTTTCTCATTTCTTATAAGACCTGTATATTGTAATAACCGGGTTTGGGACCTAGAAAATGCAATAATTAACCTTTTTATTTTGTATTTAATCAATTTCTCTGTCAATCGATTACCCGGAAGTGAAACAAGTAATTTGTGATTATCACGGAGGACATCTGTCAGTGTGCCCCAGGGCAGCTGTGGCTACAGTAGTAGTTTATCACCACAGTGTTTGGAGTGAATGAATAATGACACATGTGAAGCGTCTTTGAGTGTCCAAAAATGCGCTATATAAAACCGATGCATTATTATTATTATTATTATTATTATTATCTGAGATCTTAGTCCAGTGCGAATGCGCCATGTCTGTAATTTGTAAAGTAACAATTCTGCCACAATTTACCTCCTATATTTGTCCAAACACAGACGTCCTGTGATAACACTAATCCGGTGCGAATCTGCATGTCAGTGATTGTGATTTATATTGCCGCTTTCTCTATTTTCTGCATTGTTTGTTGTCCATGAGCAGAGGAGCATCGCGACTGTAATAAACCGGCAGAGTTGCGGCTGCTGCTGTCTCTGTGAGGTCTATTTAGAAGTGTAGAGGACAGTGTAATGTGTTCACTGACAACATGATCAGACCGATGGGTTGTGTTTGAACCTTTACTTTGTCACTTTATATACTGTACAGTACAGCCGTGTTGATGCAGCCGCTATGGGCCGTTACTGTTTGTTGCCTCGCGCATACGTTAGCCAAGCCCCGGTGATCCAAAATGGCGCCCTATTCAAATGAATGGTTTGTGCTCAGTAGCTCATGGGACTTCACGGGCGCTGACATATCAGCGAAACTCGGCTATATTCGGGCATCCCGGTTCTGCGCAGTGGCCGAGCTCCCCTGATGCGTTGCACCAAATACGCGTGTGTGGCTCTCATGCACGTGCACAGAGGGGCTCTCTCTGGTCTCTCTCTGACCAATCAGCGCTGCTGATCAGAGCAGTGGTAGGGTGGAGTCAGAGTGGGAAGGAAAACAGCAGCGCTTGTGGCAGTAAAGTGTGGATTTAAAGAAAACCAAAGGATTTAAGAAGAAAAAAAGTTCAGGATGACAAGGGACACTAAAATCCCCACAAAATCCGATCTTTATGAAAGCTGTAGGTTCTCTGCCAGCTGAGGTCGAGCTGTTTTAGTTTACATTGAGATCTATAGGGAAAATGTATGGGTAGCCCGCGTGAATTTAGTCTGCAGTACTACGGGCGCCCCCTGTGCCCATGGGTGGGACAGCTATAAGCTATTAATACCCAATCCAGTTATTATTATAGATCCATGATGTTAGCAGAGTATCTGGTGCGTTCATGGGTAGTCCGTACAAAAAGTATTGTTAAACATTACAGACAGTATGGGCCAGAGAACTGTAGAGCAGTAAAATCCACATTTATGTGTTTGTCCTCATGGTCTCTGGGACTGCTGTGGTCAGACACGAGTCTCTATGGGCTGCGTGAAGCGGATAGACCCGCACAGGTGCGCCCGTTAAGTCAGATTAGTAATTTACAGACAGTGCTTATCCCTTGTGAATGCACTGTCTCAGACGTCCTCCGCGATTATCGCGATCAGACGTCCTCCGCGATTATCACA